TTTACTTAACAGATCCTCCTAAAAACTTGCAAGTCCTGTGACGGTGGAGGAGTGCGTGAGGTTATGGCGGCGCCATCCGTGCTGCCATCTGTGGGCGGACATAGTAACTACTTCACAGTGAGCGCGCGGGCGTTTTAAATGTACCTTTTATCGCCACGGAAAACCCTCCATCACCCTATACACACACTTCTCCATTACTTTGAGATAAAAGCAGGAACTGATTTTGAAGAACTACCGTGGTTTGGTTAAGAACGAGTTTCCTACTTAGCACAAAATTCATTTTGTGTTCATAGTTTCCCTTGTTTCTGTTTGTTGGCGAATGTGTTACTTGTTTTGTTGTGATGTCCACTGCCGGTAAAAGCCCGGCTTTGGTGTTGGGCCGGGCTTATGTTAACTGTGTCTGGTGTGCCTTATCTTCAGGAACAAGTACTGTTAACTACTGCCGTCCATTAGAGAAAAATGTTTTTGTCATTTTGTTTTCTTTTTGTTGATTCTAATAATTTTCTCTTTTTGATTTTCATCCTCCAAAACTTAATTCAGTTGTGGGTAACTTAGCCTTTGAACCAAGATTTCTGCCCAATAGGACTTATTGTTGTCTGTTTCGGTGTTTTACGGGAGTCTTTTTTTGTCGGTAGAAATGTCATTGCTCACTTAAGCCTCAATGGTGTTTTGATGTGATATTTTACATTAGAGGCACTGTAATTCTACATGAAGGGTCTCAAGTCTGTGTAGTTAATAGATTTTGGACCCTCCATGCATCCTCGCTCTAGTCAGTGGAAGATTCATAGGTGTTGGATCTAGCCACTGCTTGGTGCGCTCTGCGCACACACAGTACCTCAAAGAACCATAGCTCAACTACTGTACGTACCGTAACTTGTTCCTGTATTGACTGTACTCATTTCAGACCATTTAATGTGCAAAGAGTATATTTGCCCAATTCATAACAATGTTATTATTATTTTAATAATGATTATTCCTGTGTACAAAAATGGCACTTATTTAACCGGTTGTAGCTGTAAATTATGATATTTGTTATATGAAATGTTACAATTCTATGTCTATTCATAGGCTTACAAGACTGAATTGTGTTTGTATGTATGTTATTGTAGACTAGAAGTCAGTCGCCGATGTGCCTTAATTTTTGTCAGTTTCTGCCTTCCTGCGCAGTAAGGAAGTTGGCACCAACATACATTATTTTGGGGGTTCAATTTTGTATGTGTAAGCTATACATAAATTAAGTGTATTTGAAATCATAGTATTTGTACATAACCATAAGATGCCCAAAGGGCCTGAAAAATAATTTTTAAAATTAGATCTGTGATTTCAAATGTAATATTGAAAAAGTTTGTAACCTGAGAAATGGGTTACTTGAATGATTCATCAATTTGAATCTAGCTCACGAGTTAAAGGTGTCAGAGTTTACCTACTATCTTGTTACATAAAAGATAAAATATGTGCCTTTTTCTGGATCGATACCTACCTCAAAGGAATACATTCCATGACTCAGGATGACCAGAAGCTAGGCACACGGGATGGTGTTAAAATCAGACCCAAATCTATAAGAGAAAGAGAAGAAAGTTTGTAAAAGTGCTTTGTATAAGTAATTGCTAATGTGTGTTAACGATTATTTAAAAATATAGCAAAATTCTACTTGTGCCTTAATGTTTGTGATGATCTTAATTGAAACTCCAATCATGTTCAAAAGTGTTATAAAATACCATGTACAGTGTGTTTTAAGATTTTCAAAAATGTGTGTTGTGTCACTTCATGTTATGTTCGGTCTATTTTGTGAGCACATACGGTGCACTTTGCAACGTGGACACCACACTCGTACAACGCACCCGTTTTGATCCGTTCTGGAGAGTTTTACTCATTGTGCCTTACTCAGTGCATTATTTTTCCTGACATTGTTTGGACATATCTTAAATTTGTCTTTTGTTTTCCTGTTTTGTTTCACATGTGGCAAGTACGCCCTCATAAGTTGGAAACGAGAGGAGCATTTTACACTTTCTCTTATGTACATCAAGGAGAAGGATGGCTGAAACTTCAGAGGATGTGTATATAACTTCGTAGTCCTGTTCTTCATAAGTGCTCATGGCTGCTGTGTGGCAGCAGTAGCAACAGTGAAACAATATGGCCATATCGTTATTTCTTAAGTACCGCATTGTTTTATTTACACTATTATTTTGTATGAAGACTGAATGTTTTTTCTCAATACTATAATACAGCTAAGCGCTGGTAATATTTTGTTGTATTTAAGTTCTATCAGTTATTTGAGGTAATTTGCCTTGGCGGAGCGATTAGGCAAAGCAGTGTAATGGCAGACTCTTTCACCTATGCAATGTGATTTAATATATTACAAGGGTTCAACCATTACTCTGTTTTGCAGTTATCAAGCATCCTAGATAGAGAGTCGTTTCCCTTTTTTTTATTTTTATAATATTTTTTGTATGTAATGGTACCCTATATACAGAGATGACATCACTTGCGGGTATCTTACATATACACGAAGTTCGTCATCGGGTTGTTGTGATGTTATAACTGTTGAACAATAGAAACCAAACTGTAGTCTCTACCTCAGTTGTTAGCCGGCCATATAATCGTACGATTTGCTCACTTGAATGTTGTACCTGCGATGTGCACTAGATCTCTATATACCGGTGCATGAATGCTCACCAAACTGTACAGCATCGATACCCATGAGTGTGTGCTGTGCCTAAGGATTGTAAGGCTGGTGCGAAATCGGCGATTTCTATTAGTCATGAAATGAGTAGTCGTACATTCCTGTGGCAATAGAAACAAATTGAAATTTTGATTGTTCTGGGCGACGAAGTCTGGCGAACATAAAATCGTACTATACTTTGTTGTTTGTTAATGTTAAGAAATTTTAGATGCCAGTTGAGGACGGCGCCGCCCGAATACTATTTTCTCTCCACACTCATGGGCATTGGAGATGCCGCTCGCGACCTTTAGATCGAAATAATGTTGTGATGTAGAATTTTGTTAAGTAGGTCTAAGGTTGTGCGATGCGGTTGGTTACCTCATAGTCATGTGTTCTATTTTAATAATAATTATGCCTGTAACTCTGGATTGCTACTTTGCTAAAGAAAGGATACAGCCTTGTTTCGCAACTACGCTAACGAAAAGACTGATTTTCCCAGTGATCAAAAAAGTACGTTCATAGTATTGTTTTATTTTGGTGAGAAATGCAAAACAAGTTGTAAGGCGAGTATCATTTTTGGAAACAACACTGTGCGTCTTTGCGGCTGTCGCTGCTGAGACTTCAAACAAGTCAACTTGAGCTTTTCTCTACAGGGTGCATGGAACATGGATTATAATTCAGTTTCCCAAAACGAATTTTGTTATAAATTTCTGTAATCGTGGATGTGACCCTTTTCTTTTTACAGTTTTTATTTTTGTCAAACGAAAATGGATGTAAACAACTGTTGCACTGCACTTTGTATAGATTAAAATTCTGATTATGTGTATAGAAATTGATTGATTCCGACCTAAACCCCAAATCCTTCGCATGAGTGAATGGAACTACCCTCACAAGCAGAGAGCAAATATACTCCACGCCCACGCCTATACGCCCTCACGGTGCAGGGTAGCGACGACAGTCCAGCCGATTAATTAAATTGTTATACCCTCACAAAGTATTCATACAACTCCATCTGACCAAGCGCGATCGTTACCACCTCTTTGGTCGCGTGCGCGCCGTGAGGTAGGCAACCCATCTGGCATCTGGCCTTCCCCCTACTGTCTATGAACGAGCTGAGCTGTTCGTTTAACTTTTAGATACTGCGACTGTCTGTCCGAGTAAAGAGAGAGCGCAGGGATTGACTTTCTTTAGTTGTGCAATACCAACGAGTGATTCGCGAAACATTCTTTCGCTAAGTAATTACTAAATTCTTCTTTGGCAGCAGGAAGCTCGCCCCTCAGCGCACCGCAACCCCGGGCAGCGACAGGTGCAGGAGTGGAGGTGGGGGTAGGGGGGGGTGTAGGGGTGGCACCAGGCCGCGGAGGCAACGGGGGCGGCGCGGGGGCGGCGCGAGGCAGGGCCTGCCGGTGGGGCGTCCGGTTCCGGCCGCCGTACCGCGCGAGCTCCCGCGGCCCGGCCCGCGCCCGCCAGTGCGCCCGCAGCCATGGCCGGGGACGCCTGCCTGATGGCCACCGAGCCGCGCGTCGCCGCCGCCCCCGCGGCCCTGGAGCGGACGCCGACGTCGACCCGGCACTGAGAAAAGAGGACGTTCGAGTCCTGCCCGGCATGCTGTCAGGCCGCTCCGGACACGCGCTATGCACCGGCTCCTCGGCCTCGTCGTCCTCGGCCTGCTCCTGCTGCACCCGGCGCGCGCGCTACCGGACGCGCTGCCCCCCGCCCAGTACGACTGGCCCGAGAGCAGAGGTAAGCGGAGCGGAGCAGCGGGGACCAAAACAACGGCGTCCTTGACTGGCTGCACCGCGCCGCCGCGCCCCACATTCAACTCGTCCGCCTGCCGCGCTCGGAGGGGAGGGGGAGGGGCGTGGTGGGGGATTTCCCGCGCATTTGCTGGGTGGCGCCTCCGCGGTTTCCCCCCTGCGGTTGGTTACCCCCCTAACAGTCGGTACCCCCCGCGGGGGTCGCCCCCTTGCGCTCCGCAGCGTGACCCGGACGCATTAGCCCGAGATTGGTGCGCCAGGCCTAGGCAGAAGCCCCGGTCCCAGCCCCCGGCCTTACCCCCGACCCGCTGAGGCCTCC